TGTGTGTGTGTGTGTGTGTGTGTGTGTGTATACGTGTGCGTGTGAATGTGCGTGTGCGTTCATGTGAACGTGCGGTCGTGTGTGCGTGTGCGTGTGTGTTGATATTAATTTGAATAATTAATCAGGAATACCTGAATTAATGATAAACGGAGTTTATCCTGAAAGGTGTCTTTAAAAATGTAAAAAAAAATCTTTTGCAATAGATCACTTTTATTGAGAATTTCATAATACATATACATTATATATTAATACATGCACTTACTGATATACTGTTCTCTCTGAGAAAAAACACATATTCTTGAAGAAAAAAAATCATTCGTAAATGTATGCAAGTTCACTCCATGCATACACGAAGGTGTACAAGTATATATGGTAGAGCACACACTTGATCTGAATGGCGAGAGACAAATATTGAACCGACGAAGTGTAGAATAACCCAGAGAAAACAGATCAAATGAGTTAAGAAAAGAGCAAACGACGAAGAGACAGATAAAAAACAGAGTATTGAGTTTTGTATCAATGCTAATATCTTTTGATTCTTCTTCCACACAGATTACCTTGACACGAACCAAACCATCAGCCACGCCTGAGTATTACATCTGAACTATGTGAAATCACCAAAATCAGTGTTCTTATAATCATTTCTTTCCTATTGTGTGATTCGTGAGGACGTGTCGTTTGAGATTTCCTTTCTGCTTTGACCGATATGGACACAGGGCACAGGCGAAGGGCTCCTCGCCTGTGTGGATCAATATGTGGTTTTGAAGATGTGTTTTCTTGGCCGCTCTGTATGGGCAGTGCGGACATGAGTGAGGTTTGTCGCCCATGTGAGCGCGCATGTGGTAATTGAGGTGGCTGACGTCGGTCGTTGTATACGAGCATATGGGGCAGCGATGCATCTTGAACGCCGCCCCTCCGTTGGCAAAGGTCCCGGAGGCCGTCGTCGCGCTCGTTCCGGCCTCCGACGTCGACGTAAGCGCTGGGGCGGCCAGCCTGGGTCTTCCTATGTTCCCGCGTGGTAGCGCAAACTCGCCAGGCCGTGGCTTGCTCGTTCCCAGTAGTACCTGTAGGGAGTGTGCGATTTATTTCATAGAACTTTGGAACGAAAATCTTTAAGCATTATAAATAAGTATATGGCTTAAAATATGTTGTACAACCGTATTATGAGTCAGTGCTCTTGTAAAGCCCAGTGCTAATTTTTAGCTGAAAACATTAGGTTTCCTTTCTTATATTTGCATCCATATTTTCACTCACCTTCTGGTTAATGAGTAACGACTGCTAATCATTTAATATTCATTCACAATTCTAAAGTCATTTTATCTCTGGTCCAGCAAATTCTCTCAGAATTTTACACTGTGTGTGTGTTTGTGTATAAGGCATATACGTTGATATAGGTACAAGTGTATATGTGCTAGATATAATAGCAGCTTGTATTTATAATTTCGATAATCAAATAACATACATCATGACACTATTTAAAGTATGCCTTTTCCTGACATACCTAAATTGAATATATATATATATATATATATATATATATATATATATATATATATATATATATATATATATATATATATATGTATACATATATATATAAATATATATATATATATATATATATATATATATATATATATATATATATATATATATATATATATATATATATATATATATACACATTTTAGTTCCCGGAGAAAAGAAGGATACTAGAAGTATACAGGATTCCTTATAGCGATATTCTTTTTAAAAACAGCAAAGGATCACTAAAATGCAAGTAAATTACTACCCTTTAATTTTCAGATTTTTTTAAGGCCGACATACAGCGAGGTAGACCATGGCATATGCACTTACGGTTTAAGTTGTCATACACTTACATGCGTTTCCATTTCTAATAAAACCTAGGTACTCCTTCTAGTACTACATCCTACATTGACTGATGTATGACGGCCTATCACCGAATACATATCTTCCAAAAACATTTAAAGTGAACTTCTTTCCTAGACTCTGGATTAACTTCCTGAAAGAAAAGCTAGACCGTTCAATAACACATTTTCTTACTCAACACTGGTCACTTCATAAATCGACTTCTTTCTGCAGCTTGCAAAACAATCATGGGAGCAAGCAGACGACTGCTATGAATCGCGTACACAATTAACGTATACACACCTTCAGAGCTACTGATAACTAACAGTGATGCTTTGCCATGTGTTTTTTCAAGTTACCCGTTTGAGCTGCACGGAAATCACACAGACTGCAAGCATAAGGTTTTTCTCCCGTGTGTGTTCGCATATGGGTCTTCAAGTGCGTCTTCTGGGCAGCTCTGTAGGAACAAAACGGGCAGGAAAACGGCTTCTCTCCGGTATGTGACCGCATGTGATACTGCATGTGATTTCCGTTCGGAGTCGTGTATGGACAAATTGGGCAACGATGAATCTTGAAAGAGGAGGTCTGGGTATCTCCTGTGTCTGCGTGACTCTCTTCATTTCCAGGGATGCCCACACTGCTCAGGGGAGCTCCCATGATGTGACTCCCTCGAGAGCGGTCAGTCTCCACACCCAACAGAACCTGTAGAGGATGCCCAGCTTGTATCTTAGTAGTTCTTAGATAAAGTATCCTTAATTATCCTTTGAGACATCTACTTTTGAAAATGGATATTTTAAAATTAAACACGAAGCACTAATGCACATAATTTTATTTTTCCTACATACATACGCCCATACATATATACATATATGTACATACACTAGAATATATATATATATATATATATATATATATATATATATATATATATATATATATATATACATATATATATATATATATATATATATATATATATATATATATACATATATATATATATGTATATATATATATATATATATATATATATATATATATATATATATACATATAAATATATATACATATATATATATATATATATATATATATATATATATATATATATATATATATATATATATACTGTACCTTGTCCTTCCTACTGTTATTGATATATTTTCCTTATTAAATATTTCAAAATTCTTCAACGTGCTAATGGCTGATATTCGCAATTTTGTTCCATGCAGTTATATCCCTTCCATATTACGATTTTCTTATAATCTCAACAGATTTTTTCTTGTCTACTATTTGTACGTATATATGATTTTATGTGCCTTATACGCCCATGTCTTTACAGGGGTAAATACAAAACCACGGCACAGTTGTTTCCATCTTCAATGTCTTATACTGGATGCACACGCCTAACGTCCATGAATCAATATCTATTAGCCGCCCTTCCCTACAAACTCCTAAAACATGATATAATGCCCTCTTAAAAACTTTTGGCAACAACCAGGTGTTCACTAACTTCATTTATATTCATTGACTTACGCGAGACATTTAAATCTCCCGAGTTATAACTTTTCTCTTCAAACGTACAAGAAACATGCCTCATATTTTCATCGGTGATATTTTGTCAGTACTCTTTTTTCTTTACTTTCAAATTGTTACAATAAAGTTTCTTTCGTATGCACTGCATACACTGTATTCAGAAGAATTTCGTTTAAAATTAGTCTTGATAGCATGAATCCCCCCCCCCCTCCCTCTCTCTCTCTCTCTCTCTCTCTCTCTCTCTCTCTCTCTCTCTCTCTCTCTCTCTCTCTCACACACACACACACACACACATAGAATTTCTCAAAAACGAGACGAACATGTAAGTCAATCGAGTGAAATAAAATTGTTGTCAAATTCAGATGAGTGCAGCAATAAGGTTCGATTTCTTAAATGATACAATACACACTGAAATTTATTATTTTCTGGTTTACAGTTGATTAAACAAACAACTATAGGTTAGTTACAATTAACAATTATGACTACTGTTTTCATGGCGATATATATATATATATATGATATCTTTAAGTATAGAATATACTGTACGTACATTATATTCTACGCCTAAAGAATTTTCTTGTTATATTTAGGCAAGTGATCAGAGTTCTGATTGTGGATATTAAATTTGAACCTTACATTTCCTCCACAAATAATCTTTATACACTCTAAAAGTGTTGTGTATATAATCCACAGAAAGAACTCGAACATGCTAATATACATATACTGTATCTTATAACCAGACAATGTATTTAAGGTGATATAAGATGTCTACTTATCAGTATCAACAAATATTACCTGCATTTAATGTCTTTGGAAATAATCTACTCTACTCCAACCCAAATTACGAAGTGTTTTGATTCCGAAAGATGTTAGCTTCTTACAATTCATTGCAAAAGCAATCGAGTGATACTAGTGACTCACAAACATTTTTGAAGCACCCTATTACTTAGTTTTGCTATTTTTTTGTGTAATTGTGTGAATTATTGGAAAGATGCGCATTTTCAGCATTCACAAGAAAATTAGCTCTTTACATTATGGGTGGATTTCAAAACTTTACTCTTCAAATTTATGTCACTAGATATCATATGATGCTTTTTCAAATGATTTATCACATGAATTTTTTGAACAGCTCGAAAAGTACACTGATCACACGCAAAAGGTTTTTCACCAGTGTGCAATCGAATATGTGTCTTCAGATTTGTTTTCTGAGCAGATCTGAAAGGACAGTATGGACATCCATAAGGTTTCTCGCCAGTGTGTGATCTGATGTGATGTTTCATTGCCGTAAGTTTACGAGTAGAGTGTGGACAGTGAGGACACTTGTAGGTGTTGGTGTCCTTGATGATAGGTGCCATTCCTGGAGCTCCTGTCCTGGACATCAACTCGTTGCCACTGAACACCACCTGTAGAGGATATCCAGCCTTACTTAAAATTGTAAAGGCAGGTTAAGTAATTCACAAAAGAGTTTAAAAAGTGTTAGTAAATTTGTTAAATTTGTTCCTAAAATGATATATGCAGAAATTAATTATAAAATAGGTAACTTCAACAGTATGTAGAACAGACTATAATTCCTGCATTATGAATATTAAATCAGTATGCACTAAATGTACAATGATGTAAAGAATAATACATTATGTTGTGTGTTTTAATCAAATCAACATAAGAATCATCAGGCTATATCTAATGTAAAACAAGCTCTACTAATAAACAGAAGCCTTTCTATGAAAATCAGCTTCATAATTGTATGTATTATGTTCAGTTTCAAATTTGGTTGATCAATCTTAACTTTACACTCAAGGGTTCTCATTTCTAGTTTAGCTATTGTTCAGTTAAATGACTGAACAGGCAAAGTTACATAAATTATCAAATTGCACACATATACAAGCGTATGCATGCACACACACACACACACACACACACACACACACACACACACACACACACACACACACACACACACACACACACGGGCATGCACCCCCACATATACGCATACACAAGAAGGCACGCACGCAGGAACGCACGCAGGAACGCGCGCGCGCGCGCGCGCGCACACACACACACACACACACTACTTTTTAGAAGTATGTAGAGCTTAGTCATAACAGATTTTAGCTGCAGTCTTTCAAAATCTGTTTTATTTTAACTCTTCGCCCATTTACCTCTTTTTCCTACACAGATTGACAAACTACAATTGCAGATGAACAAAAAAAATACTTCCAGAGATGATACATCTGTATAGCATATAATATATAGTATATAGTGATTTACAATTCATTTTGAAATATAAGGAAAATCAAAATAATATATACAATAATTCTGAAACATTTTATTTTGCTTTACAGTGGTGTATATCAAAGTAAAAGTTCTTATTAAAAGCATTTAATAAAGTATAAGTAATAGTAACAAACTATGTTAAACTAAAATGCTGTTCTTAGGAACTCAAAAAATCATATAATCTGCTTTACATTTACATTTCATGTAATATTAAAATGTAAATATGACTGCATTGACTAGAAAAAACATCAACGAAAATTATCACTTAATAAATAGTGATTAGTGATTAGATAAACAAAACACTGGTACTTTTATTCAAATATAAATATTTTTTTAGTGTCTTGATACAAAAGGAGAATGCAAATAAAAAATAGATAACATTTTAATTAGTGTCAGACTCATCATGGGATAAATTATTCCACAAGTCTCTACATTTTATAGAGAAAAAATGTATTGTCACAGTATACATGTACATGGTTTATGCTTTGTGTATATTCAAATAATAAAATTCCTAATATAATGGCAGTCTACATTTCAATATGCATATAAATACAAGAAAAGGAATAATTACAACTGCACAACTGCATATTTGGTTTGTTTATGCATTATCTACTAATTCTTATTAGTTTCTTTGCAAAATATATAAAATTTAGAAAAATATCACTGACTGTAATTTCCTACTTCATTCCCACTGCTGTAATGACTTCTCATATGTGAAGAAAGGTGAACTTTCTGAATAGCCCGATAAGGACAATATGGGCATGCAAATGGTTTTTCTCCGGTGTGGGTGAGAAGATGTCTTTTTAAATTATCTTTTATCGTTGTCTGGTAACTACATTGAGAACATGAGAATGGTTTCTCTCCAGTATGAATTCTTGCATGTCTTATAAGATTAGACTTGACTATAGTAGAGTAGGCACAGAAGGAGCAGTGGTGCATCTTGCTAGTCAGGGTGTAGGTCCTGTCAACCTCCTGAGGTCCTCTCCGTCCTGGCCCTGGATATCCACCCATCTCCGGTTCTACCTGTTGAGGACGCCCATCTTATAGTCTTACAATCAACTCAATACTTTGCTGATTCAGGAGTAATATTTCTAAAGATACAAGTTTATTCTACAGTGAGGTATATCATACTTGATCCTACTATATTTATACAGAAACATAATGATACTATGAGTAAATCTACACAAAGTATTTCTATATAAAACAAATTTACATACAGTTTTATCATATATACTTTCATAGTATTTCAATATCTTTCAAAAAGTAAGGGGGTAGTGGTGCATATGTGTTGGATGTATGTATGTGTACATGTACATATGCCTGAGCCCGGATGTGGATGTGGATGTGAATGTGGTTATAGATATGGATTATAAGCAGCACAACATTTTTCTTTTTTTCACACATACAAACTGTACAGTGGCCGCAAAAAAAGTTTACATTGATATTTGGTAGAGAATAAAATGTGAACAGTTTGTTGGCTTGACATTATAATGTAGGCTTTTTCTTACAATAAGTAGATTATATTCCCTTTCTGCTAGTATACCATCTACAGCTATTTTGGCTTTGATTCAGCAAATTTGTTAAATCAGGATAGATTCATGAGAATCACAAGCTTCTTCAGTGCCTCCTGCTGATCGTTGATGACCTTTCGACACATTCCGTTTGGCTTAACTGGAATTACAAGTTGTCAAACTTGCTATACTTTTGAGGAAATTATCATCAGAAACTTTTTTTGCGTTTATTTATTTTATTTTATTTTATTTATTATTTATTTATTATATTTTATTTTATTTTATTTTATTTTATTTTATTTTATTT